GGTGTTTAATCCCTGATTCACCCTGAGTAAGATGCATGCATTCACATCCACCATGAATAAAACAGTTTGGACAAGTAAGGATCCTCTCCTTCATCAACGATCACTGCAGGGGAGGCCTTCGTAGTAAAGAGCAGAACCTATATCTTCTGTAGAAGGCCTCTCTTCCAGCCCGTCCATACTTTAGGCACTTACTCGAAACCAAACCAGATTCACCTCCATCCAGGGCTCAGCCATCTCCTTCCTGCCTGGCATGTAGGGGAAACTCGAATCTATGGACTTCCTTCCCCAACTCCTTGAGGTCCCCAGTGGCATCTGGGCACACAGGAAATTGAGATCCACAGCATCAGTCCCAGATCTCACTGTTTCTTGCCCAAAGGAACACTGGCTGGGACCCCTATCTTAGAATGAGTTCTACCTTCCCTGAGCTGCATGTTGGTGGCCTTCCTGCATTCCAGCTGTGAGGTAGACACAGAGATCAACACATATGGGAGTTTAACCACCCGAGATTCTACTTGTTTTGGGTCATGTATATACTCTCTTCTAATAATGCGCTGGACAGCCAGCCTAGCTCTTTTATGTGCATGTACTATACATTATATTTGCTCATGAAAAATGCACTTATCCACTTTGGACCTTCACTGCATCTAGACACACACACACATGTGGGGCAGTAGGCTATGAGAAAACCAGAAAGCTTGGTAGAAATCTTTGAAGCCCAGGAATCCTTGGCCTGAAGAGGGCCAGCAGGACAGGAGGTTGCTTCGGATTTCCCAGGCCATATATGGCTCTCTTAGCTTCTGCTTCCCACAAAGAGGTCCGTGGCCTTTACCACGTAGGAATAACACCTCCATGCAAATATGGCATCCCCAAGCCCTCAAGCCAAACCAATAGAGGTTACCTGTTCTCCCCCCAAAACTGTATATATACCCCCAGAGCTAAAAGTAAAGTGCTGCTGTGTGGTGTAAGACCTCCCACTGTCAGAGTGCTTTCGTGATCCCTCACCAGTCGCTGGCTATCCTGCGCACTTCAAAGGACAACTCTCCTCTCTCCTCTTCTCTCTCCTCTTCTCTCTCCTCTCCTCTCTCCTCTCAGCAGGCAGAGCGAACTGAGAGAGCTGTAACACTTTTCTTCCGTGGGCTCTCATGAGCTACCCCCGGAAAGAGGGAACTGAAAGAGCTGGTAACACTCTCCCACATTTGGAGGCTGGGACAGAGGTCCTGCTCCACACGACTGAAAAGAGTGCTGTGCCTAGTTCACAGCTACGCTCTCCCTCATCGCCGCTGCTGCCACCCCTGCCTCTGGGGGCCTCGAGCCGGCCAGAGGCCGCCTGAGCACGAGCCCCAACGTCCCACCGGCTGCCGAAGGCCCCAGGCCGACTCGGCTGGTGCCTTCCATGCCTCCGACCCCAGAGTCCGTCCGCCCACCCCTGCAGGCCCGGCCTGGAGCGGACGCCCGCCAGTCGCTGCTGTCCTCGGTGTCCCACGGCGGATCCTCCAGCCACTCTCCCAGGTCTTGTTGCGCTACTGCTCGTGCCAGCACACCTGCCTGCAATCCCTAGGCGCGAGTAGTGCACAACACACACACACCCCTCTATAAATGTAAAGGTAAATTTCTGTTCTGCTAAAACCAAACTTTGTTTCTCTTCAAACACAATTCTTATGTATCCAGGTACAAAGAGTAGATGTAGGCTGAACTGATTTTGTGTGCGTGCACAGCAGGCCAAAATTGTGTCAAGTAAAGCTTTAGGGTAAAATTCCCTATTTACCATCATATGCCTATGCATGCTTGGGCATACTGTATCCTGAAGAGATCTATGGCAATTTTCCCCATGGTGGTGAGATTGACTAATACATGGTAAAGTCTGTTCTTTTTTCTCCTTTCATAACAGGATGCCTGGCCTTTAGTTCAGCAGGAGCTTACTGAGAACTATTAATGTCTCACACTGTCTGGCAACATCCAGGGCCGTGACTACATTCAAGGCAGTGGGTACAGAAGGTGGAATCTAAGTTGCTGGATTGGATTTCTTAAAAGTTTTGGACCCTCCCACCGGTTGGCATGTGATTGCTAAGGTCCACCTTCCTCCACCAATGGGGTGGGAAGCCTGTTGGGTAGAAAGACACCTGGGTAGAAAGACAAGAATGTAGAGAGAATGTAGAGTAATGGTTAAGTCCACAGAGTAGTTCTGGACTGCTTATTGAAAGAGTTACTAAACTGAAGAGGAATAAACTGTCCTGTTCTGTGATTATTTTTAGACCCTGAATTCAGTGGCTGATTACTACAATGTGTTATTAAGAAACACTTAAGGTTCAAATAGCATAAGTTGAGTGATATGAACAAGACAGGAAACATACTTTTAGAGATATTTAATGATTTGTTTTTCAAATCAGTACAAAAATTTTAAATACAAAATTGATTTGCCATTTAAGTCCCAAATCTATTCATGGAAACTCAAACAAGTTGCCAGTCTTTTCATCATTCTTTGTTTCTGTAAAATATTTGAGGACAATGGTCCTCTACAGACATTCCTTTCTCCTGTGGGATGTCATGCTGCGTTAAAACTCTGTTTAAATAGAACAATGCCAGTTTGGTTCATTTCACATGGAAAAGCTCTAGTTAATTTTTAATTAAATAGGGATCATAGTACTGTCCCTAGAAAGTAGAACATATACTTGATTCATCTTCTTGCACACCTCTGTGGACATGATGAACAACACTCAAAAGGGAAACACAGGTACATAGATAATTATTTAAAACTCTTCTTTAAATTAAATGGAGTATCATTTAGCTCTGATATTAGCACCATGGTAGAATATACAGTATCTGGCATAGATTTTGCTCCTCCTCCATTTAAAAGCTTAGAAGCATATGCCTGATAACACACACACACACACACACACACACACACACACACGAGGCAGGCAATTGAGTAACAACCAATAAATAAGTTGGAAGATATCTCAAATAGTGAAATTTGGTTTAACTTAAGAGATAATTTCTGACTTCTGTCTTTCTTTATGGAAACTAAAATACCATACATGTACAGATAAAAGCAACTTTACATCCCATCTGGCAAGAGTGTCCTCCAAACCATTTCAATGTAGCTATTTAGCAGAAAGAGCAAGGGACCCATATGACTTCCATAGTGACCAGCTATAAGCCAGTGTCCCCAGGAGTGACTCCAAGGATACCCATCCAAAGAAATGCTGTTCACATGGCAAGTGAAGGTTAGGTAGGAAAATTCTTTTGTATTCGAAAGTGCTTTTGTATAATTAAACAGTGAATGAAAAACCTTGTGCTAATAAACACATTCTTTTTTAAAAATTCAAGAAGAAATGGTGCCTATGCATCATCAAGGGAAAAGACAAATAGTAAGCCAGGACCAGAAGAACTGTGGTGGTAAAAATAATTCAGATTTTAAATAGGCCATGTTTTATACTGTATTTATTTGTGTATTTTCCAATCTATTTTCTATCTTCAGCTCTAGACTTTTAACTTGTGAGGAAAATAGAATACATTCTATCGCTGTAGTCCCACATTATTCCCCTAAGCAAGTAATAGCAGATGAACAGTAAACCTTCAACTGATTGTGTTTTGAGAAGCTCTCAAAGAACCTACTATGTGCCTTAATTAGAATCTGACTTCTTTTTTCTTTTTTCAAACCTGTTTCGGCAGTGATGCTGAGCATGCGGTGACATCATAGGTCAGGGATGCTATTGCTTTATGACATTCCAGCTATCTCTTCCACGGGCCAATGACAAAGAAACAGTTATTTTCCTACAACTGTAGTCCCTGTTGCTAAGAGCAACGCACCTGCTTTTAAATACCAAACTCTACCATTGCTTTTTTTTAAATATAATTTTTCCTATGTAATTCTGATTTTTCCCCACCCAAAATTTAAAAAAAAAAATGGTTTGGACTTTAACAATTGACTTTGGAACTTCATGGGATAAGTTGTGTTTTCAAAATTCATAGTTACCAGGGGAAAAAATGACAGCTACTAAAACAGGTACAGACAAGGTGAAACTTCATTACACTTGGCTGTGTGGACAAATTAGTGTTTTTGTTTTATTTAACACAACTGATAATTGCTATTAATAATAAACATTCATGAAACGGCAAAGTTACTTGAGGGAAAGCTTTGTAAAAATTTTGTTTATGTTAATTAGGCTATGTTATATATTACATGGAGGGAAGAAGAAAAAAAAGAAAATCAAGTTATGGAAAAATTCCAAACTAAAACCCTTTAAATGAGTTGATACATCAATATCTTTGAGCTAAATGATGAGCTCCTGTGGGCTCTGCCCTGCGTCCCATGCTAGCATCTCCTGGCCGGCATCCCATGCTAGCATCTCCTGCCCCGCATCCCATGTTAGCATCTCATTCAGTTGCTAGGCAAATAGACTGCTGAGAAAATACGCAATGGGCCATTAGTACACCTCTTCTTTTGGGGACACCATACGCACACATATACACAATTCTGACTAAGTAGTCCTGCAGCTCAAAGCATTGCCTCTAACATGGAGAAATATCCTTTAGACTAGAGATTACCATGGACTCTGCACTACAGAAGAACCCTCCAACATCCCACAGCAAAACATCTGCATGAATAGAGAAGAAAGTATGCAAATAAATACAGTATGTAACTGTCACCACCAACCTTTTAAGGCACATTCAAAAATGCTTTCTTTAAGGGAGCACAAAGAATGAATGACTTTCATTTCCAGACTGAGATATTTTGACTGATTTGAATAAGCAGGCTATGAAATCATATAACATGGAACAGCTAATATGAGTCCACTGGGTACAACACAAGTGTCAGAACTTGATCTGTATATCTGTCCCATCATTCCATTACAATTTGCTGTGCACAGGATTAAACATGCATTTTAGTTTTTATTTGTACATGATGGTCCAAACTTTCACTTAAATATAACTTTCCAACTATTATAAATGTTTTGAAGCATTGTTCTCGATTGGATTTTTTTTTTTTTGGTGTGTCATTTTCTTTTCTTCTATTAAATCTCTTATTTTTTGTTTCTTTTCTTTTTCTTTTACATGGGATACAATAAATATCCTGAAAAGGAGGAGTGGACATATTGCCCGGCATAGAGTCCAGCAGCCTGTTCTGAAGGCATTTGGAGGAATACCCGGTCTCCGGGCCGGAGCAGCAGTACTGCGCTTCCAGATGCCTGGTCTAGAAAGCCCTTCTTGTACTCGTCGTATGTGTACATCATGGGCTCGTTGTTCTTGAAGAGAGCAACCCATACGTTGCCTCCCTTGCAGTGAACATGGTAAGCAAAGTAGTAGACACCCGGGACTTCACAGGTGAAGATGCCCGTTTGCGGGTTGTAGTTCTGTCTGCCGTTGTATAGCAGCTTGTCAAACTTCACTGGAGCCCCCACTGGTGGGAAAGGTACAGTCAGCTCAGCAGTAAATGCAGGCATCTCATAGGCTGGCCCTCCGTTCTTGCCCTTTTTGCCTGCATAGGCATGTGGAGGTTTCACTCCATCAATTCCTAGTCCCATATCTGGCAGATACTCTCCCTGGGGTGATGGTGTAGGGGGCATCACAGCTGGGGGTCCTGGGGGCCCTGGAGGACCTGGGGGCCCAGGAAGGCCAGGCTGGCCTTGAGGTCCAAGGGCACCAGGTTTCCCTGGGGGACCATGAAGTCCTGCTACTCCTGGCTTCCCTACACCAGGGAACCCCGGGGGCCCTGGGAGGCCTGGTTCTCCTTTGGGACCCGGAATCCCAGGGGGTCCAATAGGGCCACTAGGTCCTGCAATCCCTGGAATGCCTGGGGGACCCTGTAAACCCTGATCCCCGGGTATGCCAGGTTCTCCTTTGGGTCCAAGTAGCCCTGGAACACCGGGAAGCCCTGGCAACCCTTTATGACCAGCTTCTCCCTTGGGTCCTATAGGACCAGGCAAACCCCTTACGCCAGGGGGACCCACTTCACCAAGAAAACCTGGCTTCCCAGGGAAGCCTTGGAGGCCCGGCTCTCCCTTGGGACCTGGCGGACCCTGTGGTCCTACAACTCCACCTTCTCCTTTGGGTCCAGGGAAACCAATAGCACCTGGAGGGCCCATGGGACCCGGGATTCCAGGTAGGCCTGGCTCTCCAGGGGGACCCCCCATTCCAGGAGCACCTACTGGTCCCTTTTCCCCTCTCGGTCCAAGAGCCCCAGGAACACCCCCAATACCCCGGTCCCCTTTGGGTCCTGGGAAACCTGGTTTTCCGACTCCTGGGAGGCCTGGGGGTCCAGGCAAGCCAGGCAATCCTTGTTCCCCTTTACCACCTGGAAATCCTGGTTGGCCAGGGATCCCATCCTGACCAGGTTTTCCAACTCCAGGCATCCCAGGAGGTCCTTGAACTCCTGGCACACCAATAAGGCCTTGTGGTCCAGGTTCCCCTGGAGGCCCTGGCTTCCCCAGGGGACCCTGGGGTCCAGGAAAGCCTGTCACTCCTGGTTTTCCTACTCCTGGTAGCCCAACAGGACCAGGAGGGCCATGCATACCTGGAGGACCCTTCAGACCTGGCAAACCAGGCATCCCGAAGCCCTTCTCTCCTTTGGGACCCTGAAGGCCGGGAGGTCCTGGCGGTCCTTTGGGCCCTCTCTCACCTTTTGCTCCTGGTTGCCCTGGTAACCCTGGCCCACCCGGTTTCCCGATGCCAGGAAGTCCATGAGGTCCTGGAGGTCCTTGTGGCCCTGGGATTCCCATAGGTCCGATTTCCCCCTTGGGTCCAATTTCGCCTTTTGCCCCTGGCATGCCCATGGCGCCTGGCTTCCCAGGCATGCCAGGCATACCCGGCTTTCCAATTCCTGGATATCCCTGGGGTCCTGGCTTTCCTTTGATTCCAGGCATTCCATGACCTGGCAAACCGGGTGGCCCAGGTGGTCCTCTCGGTCCAGGTTCTCCACGGGGTCCTTGTTCTCCTCGCAAACTGGCTAATGGTATTTCTCCTGGAAAATGAAGAAAGGGACAGGGAATATTTGTTATCTCTTATTAAAAAGAAGTAATAGCAACCATATGATTTTAACACATTTGACTATTATATATTGAATGGGAAGACTAGAGATAATATGTTCCCCTTCCTGAGCCTTCTCCTGTATGGCACCAGAATTTAAAGGAAAATCAAGCTGTCCCTTTCTGTGGTGTATCTGAGTTGCTGTTTTGAAAACTCTTACATGCAGCTGCTTATATAATCAGCATCAGTTAAAGTTTAAAAGCTGAAAAAATAAAATTAACAAAATCATTTCCAAGTGTAAAAGCTGAAGATCCTGTTATGTGCTCATTGTGCAGAATTCGGGAAGGTGGGGTTTGAATAACTGGGAAAGAGCATCGCCATGGAGCCCACTTAGTAGAGTAACCACTTGACCTGGTATTTTCTTTTCTTCCTTTTTTTAAAAAAATCAAATCATAATTTTTACTTATTCACACAGGGGTTATAAACACAAAAAGGCAGGACGTGGGGAAGGGGATGACACTGGAGCGTGTGTGTTCACGGGGAGTACAGATATCTTTCAGAACATGGTATCGGCTGGGTGAAGGTTCAGGGGACAGGCCACTATGACTCTGCCTATGATTCACTTGTCCTTATCTAAGTTGGTATTGTCTGCCAAGACTACCTATTTAGAAGGTCTATGACTACTCAGGCTGGTAAATTTCCACAAAAGCTGCCTGTTTATAATAGCTTATAGCCATCTGTTTCAATGTTTTTCCACAGAGACCCAAGACTTGGTGTTAGTATACATGTATGACAGGCCTATTGCTGATTTTAGGCCTATGTCTGATTTTAGGCCTTCAGTGGGTAAGCAGGGCTGCCCCTGACATCTCCTCCCTTCTCTAAGTATAGAAGGGCTGTGGCAATTCTAATCTTGCGAAGGCGAGGATAGAGGCCTGACCTCCAGTAATTGAAGGGGACCTTGTAATGGCTCCGGTCCCCCTGTTGTTGTCCAGTGAGGGACGTGGTATTTTCATCTCATTTGTTTGGGGCACACATTTGTGTACATTTTAGAGAATGTTGGAATCATATTCTGTTTTTACTTATTTTTTAACATTTTCTACTTAAAAGTCATATTGCATTTTCCCATGACCATATTATCAATTTAAAGATTTCATTATACATAAATGAATTACATGGTATACGTTTACAGGCTTCAAGATATATAATTTATATAATTTATTATTGTATAATTTGTATTATTGTATAATTTATTAATAAAATATGGAATAATTAAATCAAGCTAACCAACATTTCTGTCACTTCACATATTTACTTTTGTAGGGTCAGCATTTGAAAGTATTCTTAATTTTATTTTATTTTATTTTATTATTTTTTTTATTTATTTATTTTTTATTTATGTGAGTACACCACTGCTGTCTTCAGACACACCAGAAGAGGGCATCAGATCCCATTACAGATGGTTGTGAGCCACCATGTGGTTGCTGGGAATTGAACTCAGGACCTCTGGCAGAGCAGTCAGTGCTCCTAACCGCTGAGCTATCTCTCCAGCCCCGTATTCTTAATTTTAAATATATAATATATTACTAACTGTATTTCCCACATTTGGTAATAGATCTAGAAATAAAGACAAGATCATAACCATATTCTTGCTGCCTGTCTTACACTTTGTACCTCTTGTCTATTGTCTTCTCCATCCCCCACCTCAACTCCTTCCATCCTTTAGCTTCTGGTATAAAAATGACCAACATTCTATTCTCTGATTCTGTACATTGTTATGTTGCAGCATGCTAGTAAGGTGCATGGTTCTTGTCACTTTGTGCCTGACTGGCTTGTATTATTTTTAATTTAATAATATGGGACTAAATATTTCCTTGTGTGCTGAAAAGTGGGTGATGAAGATCATTCTCCCATGCACCCAGGAAAAAAAGAAAAGCCTTTTATTTTGCATGTGGTCTGATAGACATCCCTCCACATCTGTCTCCTAGACCCAATGAATTTGCTTAGTGTCTCTGACATACTATAGAATTTCTCAAGCCTCAACTATATGTTTTTGGAATGAATTATATTGCTGGGAAATTAGGGTTTTGATCAGAAGTGAATAAAACACTTTAGGGTGGCATGCAGTTTAAACAAGGAAAGAAGCTTGGTTTGGGAACAGGAAGTTCTATCTTTCTGGCCATGGCATGGCGTTATGACTGGGTGCCTTTAGCTGCTGGCATGCCCGCTTTTCTATTACGTTAGCTAGATTAACAGAGCTACATTACATAACCAGAGAAAACATAGGAAAGCTGTCATGCTTGATGCTGAAGTACAAAGCACATGTGAGAGTATGCTTACTGTGTTTTGCAGGCCACCAACTCTGGATGATGTCTGGTGCTACTGGGGATAGTGGGGTACATAAAGAAATGAAATATGTGGTTCCAAAGTCATCTTTCAACTATACGTAGTGCTTAAATCTTATTGTGTTATTTGCAGCCAGGAAACAAAAGAGAACCTCACAAATCATTTTCTTCCTGGATAGGAAGAATCATCTGATTACAAGATGCACCAGGAGCCAGGCAGGCCATACAAAGGAAGGAAGGAAGAAGGACTTAGATAATTCCCTCAATGGTGTGCCAGCTCCTAAAGAGTAAAAATGTGTGGAGTTATTTACATTATTACACACACTATAGGATTAGTAAGCAAATTGTAATCAAGGAAGAGTCTGAGGAAGCATTCTATTATTATTATTATTGTTATTATTATTATTGCACTACATGTTACTGTGGAGCCCAGGGTGGCCTCATTCTTGTGATTGCTCTTACTGCCTCATTCTCCTCAATACAGGATACACCACCAGTCTGAAGTATCACACCTTATTGGTCTGATATACCTCATGTACAGTGCCTAGAACACAGTCCTCCCTGCCTGAGCATCTGGAATGACTGGCAGCTGCGACCACTCAGAACCCCTCAGTGCTTTAAAGCTTACTCAGCACCCCTTGCCCTATGTCACTGATCCAGCAGTCCTATTTTAACGATCAAGGAAGTGAATTCAGAGCTTTCTTTGATTTCTGGGTTCTAGGCAGCTAGGCTTATTAGTGTCAAATCAAGTGGTTCTTCAGGACAGTAATTTCTGCCATTGTGTGGGGAAACCAGTGGAGATGATCTCCACTTCCTTCATGTGCCCATGTTCCTCACAGATGCTTTGCTTCTGAGAACTCCAGAAAAGCAAACTGAATTTATGGGAAAGTATCTCACAGTAACAGGTACTTTGTAGCTTTAATAGACCTCACACATATTCCTAGAAAGTAACTGGGAGAGATTCTGTGCCCTTTAGCTTCCCAATGGCTTGGTGACTGACTTGAATACTTTAGAGCAGCAGTGAACACTCTCAAGTGTATCACCTAGTTTGTGAAATGTTTCATTGTATTTTTCTTTTACATAAGTTCCTGAAGACATTGTATCTTAGCTTGAAAGACTGACTTGTCCAGTTTCTTTAACCCCCATATCTTGCTCCTTCTGCTCCATGAACTCCCTGCATCTGGCTTAGAGTTCACACCACATATAGCTGATGAATATTTAAATAAATTAATAATATACATAAGGATAGACTGTGGCTAAATACGCTCTGCTCAATCTTTTACTAGCTAAAATAGTAAAATCAAAAATAGATTATAATTTTACTTTTTATGATGGTGAGTACCAAACCCCTGTATTAATTTTTATTTTTTAAAGTAAAATATAATTACATCCCATCTCCCTTTTTCTTTCCTTCCTCCAGTTCCTTCCAAGTGCACCCCAATTCCTCACAAACTCATGGCTTCTTTTTTTCTTTAATTATGATTGCATATATATATATATATATATATATATATATATATATATATATATATGCATAAATATGTAAATAAAACATGTTGAGCCAATTTAGTGTTGCTTGCATGTATGTAATTTCAGGGCTGATCACTTGAAATTGTATAACCTGCCTGAAAGCCTTTTCCTTGTATCTTTCTAAGTTTGAACTTTGAAAAAAAAAATGGTACTTGATTCACAACAATAACAAATTTAAAAATAAAAGTGCTACATAGTTTCCTCCTCAACTTCTATAGTTTAGGAGTCTGGAGAGCTGCTATTTTGAAACTGTACACTAGGATGTTACCTTTGCCTTTTTTGGGCACCACTTCCTTGCCCATTCTTGGCACAGGTTGGATTTCCTTCATATATTGGGGTAGGTGTGAGTACTCTTTGCCATACTGCATGTGGGGAATCTCCTTGCCCATGGAAAGACCATCTTTGCCCAAAGGCATGTGAGGTACTTGCTGACCCAAGGGCTGGTACTGTGGAATTTGTGGTGGTATCTGAGGAGGAATTTGAGGTGGCAGAGGCTTGATTCCATAGTAGGCACCGGCCTGAGTGAGTCTGACGGAGCTCAGGGAAATGATGAGCAGTATTCCCAGCAGCTGTAGAGGCCTGGGCGGCACAGCCATCACCTGTGGAGAAAGAAACACACCAACAAGGTAATCATCTCCTGGTCAAGGAACTGCTCTCTGTTTAGAGACAGACGGTTAGGGAACATGGAGAAACCCACAGTCTCAACTGTCAGAAAGTTACAAGAGAAAAAGACCATAAAGTGAAGATGCTACCTTTTAATAAGAATTAGAACAAATATCAGAGGAGTTGAATCTGCCAAATGAAAGCAATTATTGGAACATAGTCTAGAGATTGCTAATTTCTCCAAATACCAACTCTGAAAATTTCCCATAATGTCAGAAAACCTGATTTGTAGTTTGGGATAAAACAATCAGCATGAAGACACGCAGGTAAGTGTGGTGATATGACCAAGTTTTGCCAAATGAATCTCATTGTATTAGATGCTCCTTCCTAGAAGGTCCCCTGGAGGCAGTAAGCATGCTTCTTCTCCCTTTCTGCCTCCTTGCTGGATGAAGTGCAGATATGTTGCCTAGAAATGGACCAGGACCCTTGGATCGTTTCATAAAAGCTCTGCATTGAGGATTGTAGAGCTCTGGTTGATCATGTAGAAACTACATCAAATGATTAAATTTGGAAGAGAGAATTTGAGTTTTATGTCTTTACCTCACTGTTCAATGGGGCAGTCTTCCAACTGGGTAGAACTTTAAAAGGGAAACAGTTGAAATGTATAGGTTATGGCAGGAGCTGAGATTGCTCAGCTACTAAATGCTTTTCTGGATGCCTACATTTATCATAAACACATATAAATATGAACGTACAATGAGTGTAAAAGCAACACCAAAAACTACAGAGAAAGGGTATTTCATTTGATAGTGCCAAAAGGCCATCGTAAAAACCACTATCATAATTATGCACATTTTACTTCTATTTGAATACTATGAAGTAACTGGTTCAGAATTTGGCCAACTGAATTCAGAGTCCATTAAAGTTTATCTTTGAAGTTTTATGAATCGAAGGGAGTTTACAAAATAAATTAATTGCATAAATAAGATACAGGGAGATGACTGACTAGTCACAAGAACAAACTGTTTCTAAGCTGTTTAATGGCTCTCTTTGCAAGTCAATAGTTAACCGAATAAATACAAATGGGTTTTATCTGTTTATAAAAACCAGCTTGAGGAGATCTCTGCTTGGTAACACTCTAGGCTGGAGACCAAACAGTTCAGAAAAATGCAGTGTGGGAAAATGGACACCAGGGGGCAGGCATGACACACTTGGAAGTCTGTTCAGTGCTCCCCCACCTCCACCGTGTACTACCTCTGAGTAGCTGCTGTAAGCTCAGACCTTGTTAAAGGACTAACTGAAAATTCGAGAGTGTCACAATGCTGGAGAGTGAGAAATAGGAAGAGCCTCACAGTCTTAAATGCAAATATTTCCTGGAACACCTCAAAAAGACTTGTGTACAAGTAATTTAAGTTCCCCATCCCATGGGAGTTTTTCTTTATAATTCTGCCTAACTTAATTGTGGATTATAGTGTCCTACTTTTTTTTTAAAAAAATCTGTGTTGAATTTGTGACATCCTATTGAAGGATAATGCCAAAAGTCTGAACAGAAGACAAAAGGATTCATTAATTAAAAAGAAAAAAACCTAAAGTGAATCCTTACCAGAAAATACATTGCTTTCCCATTTTTCCAAATATACAAATTAATTCTTTTTTTTTTTCCTCTAGGGAGTAAGTGACGTAACATTAGTCATTAAAATGATTTATAAAGCATTCTCTGTGATACAATCATCATAGTTACAAGAAAGAACTGTTTATTTCAAGCCTCTGAATAATACATGTACTGGTAAGAGGGATCAGATAGAAAGTTGTTATTTTCTGTCCCTCCAAATGATTAAGTGGTTATTAGAAGCCATTGGGAAGGAGCCATGAGATGAATATTGATTTATTTTTGTTAATATTAACTCATTTTAGATGCAAAAGAACAGCTATGTTAAAAAGCTCCACTGAAATTTATTAAATTCCTATCAGAAACCATGTTAGGCCCACCTGAGAATACAAGGTTGGATACAGTACGGTCAGTGAGTCCTGGCTTCAGGGAGTTATGCTGTTGTAGTGGAAAGGATACATGTGTACACCTTTAAGGAGTAGCAAAAGACAGAGAAAAAACATTTCCCCCCCATCAACTCCTGTTCTTTAAAATCCCTTCATTTTTGAAGCAGGAGCTTTTCTCATTGCTTCTTCTTCTCCGTGTTCCCCCCCACCCCCACAGGCAGTTTACAAATACGTAATGCAACACAAACATCTTTAAAACACAAAAGCAACATACTACACACACTATTTTCCCCACTCCCCACCAAGACTGGTTCTTAGGCCTTATTTTTTTGTCTAGATATGAATAGTTAAATCCCATCCATCTCTTACAAGTACATCTCACAAGTAGGTGTTACAAGTAGGCCTTAGTTTTATTTTACATCCCTTCTGATTTTAATATTCAGTACCTTTAAGGTATTCACAAGTAATCTGAAAGTGTTAATTCATACTGGAAATGTGTGGTAATAACTACTAACATAGATGCTAGGGGCTTCGTTTGGATGTAATTCTTCTGCCTTTCGAGGTGAACGGATTCCATCATCGAACCTTAAACGTGTGGTGCTGTCTTTAGTAATAGACTTACATGCTCGACTTTTGTCCTTCCAGCAATATACTTGATGTGCTGTTTATACTTAAATAGTCTTTAAGCCAGGACACGCTTGGGAAATGCTAGAAAACGAGATGGAACAAGATACCTAAAAGCCCAGGTGAATCCCCAGGGCTCAGCAGGACCCAGCTTCCCCCACACCACTTCCTCTCACTGGCTTGGCCTTCCTCTCTCTCAAACCACCTCATCCAGTCGGCCTTCTGCCATTTTTTTGGCTCTTTGTTTAAATAAACTTTGCTCAGTTTTAACTTGGAAATTTATGGAGGAATTTACCGCTTGACTTATCCCTACTAATTTCCTTCTGGTCCCTGAGGAGACTTTTGGTGGTCAACGTGGTATCGTGGTTCTCTCACATCATTCAAAGAATATCAGAAGCGCTACAGTAGAGAAAACCTACAGGGAAGAAGCAGTCTCAGAAGCCCTGCTGAGACGCCATGGTAGTGGGTTCCTGCGCCTCTCTTCCTTTCCTGAAGTGCACAGTATGCTGTGAGTTTTCTCTGCTAGTTTCCTTGCTTTTTAGTTTTTCTTTTATGATTGATTTGTGTGTGTATGTGTGTGTGTGTGTGTATGTGTGTTACATGAAGATAAGAATATTTAATGGGTGTACACAAGGCATCTTCACCAGCTGGGTAAACTAAGTGTCAGCTCTCATGCCAAATGCCATACACTCTAGAACTCAAAAAACCTTTTGCTTGAGTTTCAGCTCTGCAATTCTCCATGCCTAGGCCTTGGGCAGATCCCTCGCCTCCACTGGGTCTCAGTTTTCTCACCCATGGCACAGAAATGACAATCTCTGCCGACTCCTCAGAGTTGTTACAATAATATGAAGTCTTTGTAAGCTGAAAAGTACCGCTTAAATGTAAGTTATGACTAATGGAGCACAACCAAAAAGACAAATCAAAACCAACTGAGACTTTCAAAGGAGGATACTAGCCAAAGAAAATGTGAGGTTAACTGCAATGATGGTAAACATAAAGCCAGTAAAGCAAAGATGGCCATTAAAACACACTCATTAAATATGGCTAAAACCAAACCAAACCAAACCAAAACAACAACAGAACAAAAACCACACTCATTAAACATGACCAAACAAAACAAACAAACAAACAAACAACATTGAATCAAGGCTATCATTTATCTTGGTGTCAGAATTGTCAATCCCCATCTCTTTGAATAGCTTCCTGAATGTTTCTGGTAGTTGGACAAGGTTCGAATGAGATTTTGTTTCCTCCTGTGATCCGTGATGCACACACTAGACTAACATGATACGTATTATTTTAGATGCTGTGAGCATACCCTTTGTCCATTTATCCTCATGAAATTTTGGATTGTTATACAAAACAATAGTTAAATATTTAGCCTTCAGTATTTAACCTCTGTATCTTAGTCTTATGTGTACATGCCTGTCTATGGTGTAGCGGGAACAAGCCTCTCTTATCTGCCAGGCTCCTCCCTGTCTTGACAAAGGGTTTGTAGTTTCTCAAGAGCCTTGAAGAAAGGGAAAATGAGGTAGAACATTCTCCCAGTATTTCCCAGAATTGCTTATCTATATGTCTTAAGGAAGATTACCTCTTGGCTGCATTTTCCAGAGCAATTCATTCATTAGATACTGTTATTTATTGAACTACAGGTTTAATTTCTTTTGGGTAGGGGACGAAGGACACAATGGTCAATTAAAAAGATGGAGTCTTACCTTATTGAACTTACTTTCTAGTATTGACAGGTGATAAATGAATAAAAATAACTGTGAATACTGGATACAAATGTCATAGAGAAAGTTAAGTGGGTGTGTCTAATCTACTCAGGTTCTAGCAAATACACAGAAGACAGTTGTCACTTGTTCATCAAAACTGCAGTGATGCGGCATCTCAGACTGGGTGCGGTAAACAATGGAGCTCAAAGATCTGGAGGCTGCAAACTCCAAGAATAAGAGGCCGGGTGATAGTTGTCTGGGGAGGATTACTTCCTGGCTCACACTGTTAATCTTCTTCGCCCTCATGTGGGGGGAAGATGAGGATCTGTTTTGGCTCTTTCCTAAGGGCACCAATCTAAAGGGCTCTTTGTTATTGGGACCAAAACATATCCTATACATTTCCCAACATCACATTAGATGGGATAACAACACAGGAATCTGGACACAAACTCATAGCATGTAAGTGGGAGAAACTGGAAAGCGTGGTAGTTGAAAACATCCATGGGAAGTAAATTATGAGTAAAGACTTGAATATTGAGTTTTTTAAAAAAAGATTCATTTATTTTAATATTAATGTGTGACTGTTTTGCCTGCATGTATGTATGTGTACTGCATGCCCATCGAGGCTAGGTTTTCAGAGGCCTTGAAACTAGAGTTATAGA